CAATTTTAGCCCTAAAACCTTCAAGATGCTGGGGGGGGAGCCAAACCCATCACCCCACCAGCCATCTCCACAGATACGAGCCCCCATCTGGCCCCCAGGCCTTCTGGCAGAGCCAGGATTTAACCCTTTTTCTGAAGCCAAGGGGGGAGGGGGCGCACTGGACCCCGGGAGGCAAGATGTTCCATAGGGCGGGAGCCACAGCAGAAAAGGCCCTCTCCCTAGACCCCACCAATTGAAATTCCTTGACCGGTGGGGTCTGCAACCTGCCCCTTCTGCTGGACTGAGTGGAGCGGGCTGAAATAACCGGGACGAGGCGGTTCCTCAGATAACCTGGTCCTGTGCCATGAAGGACTTTAAAGGTGATGACCAAGACCTTGAATTGGACCCGGAAACAAACTGGCAACCAATGCAGCTCATGCAACAGCGGTGTAATATGTGCCCTCCTAGGGGCATTAAGAACTGTCCGCGCCACCACATTCTGCACCAGCTGTAGCTTCCGGATACTCTTCAAGGGTAGCCCCATGTAGAACGTGTTACAGTAGTCCAACCCGGAGGTGACTAGGGAGTGACGTTGCGGAAGGCCTCCTGATCCAGGAAGGGGTGTAACTTGCATTATACTGCAAAAGTTTTGAATCAAGGTACCTAAAATCCACTAATGCTTAAAATTCCCAGGACCCCTTACTCCTGCAGAATTGAAATTTCCACGATGTTCAGGCCAGTTTTATTTGCAAAGTTGTGGCTGTTGCAGCGTCCCCACAGTCACATGATCGTAATTTCCGACACTCCCTGCCAACATCGTCAACAATCTACAATCTGATGCAGTCTATTTTCCAGTGCATTATTTAGGGCTTCCAATAAACTTGGAATACAATACTTTGATGAACTAATTTCAACCTCACGTCTAAACAAACAAAACTTAACACACTGTAAGACTTGTGTTTCACTGATGTTCATTGCTGGATATCTCAACTCTTTATTCCATAAATCATAAATGCTGGAAATTTCAACTTTAAAGCTTTGGATATAGATATATATCCATTTCCCATTAAGACCCAAGCCCGCCTTTGAGGATTACTCAATGGAGAATGCTGAATCCCAGGAAAATTAATTGCTGTCCTCAATGTATCAATCAACACAACTGGCTGAAAAAAGTTTTGCAATAGAAATGTATGGGTCTTTCATTGGAAGAAGGTTCCCTATGTAGGCCACTGAATTTTCACTGTATTTGGGATTTTGGCTTTTAATGGTTCGTACTCCTCAGCTCCACTTCCTTTATTGCTCTTTTAATTAGAATAATTAGGGCTATGGCTATGGCATCTCGGGTGAAATGCATATTGAGTGGACTTGCAGGATTTTATACAGCTTCACAACAACTGGATGCATTGCCTTCACTGTACTGCAGTTACTGCGTGAAAATTATGGTCTGTTATAATATTATGTTAGCTCCAATGATCAAGTAATACGGACTACTCAATAAAATACTCTGCAGCAGGGATGGACAAAAAGTAAACTTGGATTTTGTAACAGGCTAGGTTATGGCTTGCAGTAGTTTACCAAAACTCTAGGACTCCCAATGTTTTAAAATCAGCAGTGGCTTGCTCCCTTCTAAAGTAAGCTCTTAGAAAAGCTGATTTGCAATGCTTCAAATATAGACTTGTATTTGCATATACTGGTCACCCATTCCAGTATATTATTTATGAGATGCAGTATGCAATTGATTTGCCCTGAGCTCTTACTTTACATCTGATCCTCCTGGTGAAACTCACAAACCTCCAATTTTCTTGCACTTGCTATAAAGATAATTCCATCTTCTCTCATCCAACAAAATCCAGGGCTGAGTGATAGATAAAACTACTTCCAATTATGTAATCATCCATCATGAACATTATATGATCTTGCAAAGAATTTCAGTTCTCCAGTTCAGGTATAAAAAGCTATATTCAGGCTTATGTGCAATAAGGACTCTGGCCAAAACGCCCTCTCTGAAATCCTGATGTTTTGCTCTGATTATCCACACATCAGAGTTTATTCCTAATCCAGTTTCTGAATTAACTAGGTTAACTCATCAGTAATACATCCAAGCGTATAAAAATTTAATGTCTTTACAGACATTACATTTACAGAAATGCAGCAGTATGTAAAAACAAGCCCAGCATACGAGGAACATTTACAGTGTTACAAAGGCGTCTTTACTTTGCTTTTACATCTGAATGTCAACCTTGGTGGGGGGGGGACACTTAAGCCTAATATTCACAATCAGCTAACCAGCATCACAGGAAGAGTTTCTCCATGCTGCTCATTTTAAGTAATCTATTCTAATCCCACCATATCAAGAACATTCAGAATGGACAAAACAGCTCAAATTCAACAAATAACTAGACAGATTGTTATGTTATTACTTTCAACAAGAGTCAATCAGCTTTCCCATGGGCTGCACCTCTCTGTTGATGGAGAATTTCCTGTTACTAAAGCCATAAATATACATCTGGACAGGTCCTTCCCTTTTATTCATGCATGGAAGAAAATTTGGCATTCTGCAATTAGTATTCCAAATTACAGAAACAATACTCTAGGGTCATACTGCATTCAAGATTGCAAACAATAATATACTGCTTATCTTATTTATAAAATGTCTGTATTTCTTTTCAGCAATATATTCGATGTTCTTTACAAAACTAATCAGGTGGGAGGGAAAGAAAACATTATGAAATAGAATATCACTCAATATTGTAAGAAACACATTGGGTGGGTTTGTACAGAACACTAGGTTAGAATGTGATCATAACGTGGTTTAAAAAACTATAGGTTAGGAAGTTGTGGGAAAGGACCAATTTAAAAGGTTAGGATAGAAAAAAAAATCTTGGACTTCCAACAAAATTAGCTCAGTAATTCTCTCTCTGGTCACTGGCAATTCTTAGAATCTGGGGAGAACTGGAGGACAATAAATAATAATAAATACAAAAGAAATCTCAATGCAAGGAAAGCTCCCCTGGGAGTAAGCATTTCTTAGCATACAAGGTCTCAAAGCCATTAAAAGATAAACATCCACTCAGAAATAGAAAGACAAAGCTTGACATTTTGAAACTTGAGTCTGAGAACAGACAAGTGATCCTACATATAACAAAGGATAAAAACAGTTAAATCCCCATATTAATCTTTTTTTTTAATTATTAGAATGAGGTATGATTAGTGAAATTTAGTTTTTCCAACTCTCCCTGGAGCCCAACCCGATGCATTTTTACTTAGGGGTCAACCCAACAGAAGTCATGACTTTTAAAGGGAAAAGACAGAGAAGACCTCAAAATAACCAATCTGTGCAGGTATCCATTTCACTAGGCAGAACACTATAGATCTGCACTAGTGGGGCCATAGATCTTTAACCAAGAGGATACCCTACCTTCAGAAGATGCCAGGTTCCATCCTTTCATCTCTCGTTGCAATCTAGGAAACAATCTCCACCTCTTCAAGTTTCACCAAAGACAAGTACACTGATTTAGATGAACTAATCATCTAAGTCTAAGACAGATTCAGAAGATCCAGCATGCATGAAGATATAAAATATAAAGATTATATTAGATGTAGGATCATATAAGGCTATATAAATGTGACATATAAATAAATAAAATAAAGATACCATATTGTGACCAACCCTGTCACTGTCTGTAACTCTTATTGTAGAGGGCTTCAACTGGGACTTTCACCTGTCTGATGCTCTGTCCTTTTAGTGAAAAATTAACTAAAACTGTAAACTGACCATTGTTTTCTGGTCAGATTCTGAATATAATTACTGACATAAACTAATGCAAAATTCCCAGCTTGAGTATTCAGTTACACTGGGAACTTGCCCTCAAACATCCATAACTTGTCATTGGCAGAATCTGCAGATTAACAGATTTAGATTCAAACTTACGTATTGCCTATGAAAAGGCATGACATGAGGTTTTGCATGGCAACCTTAAGTATCTACATACTCAGCCTCTACTACAGAAGTTGAGAAACAGAAGTTTAAGCATGAAGATGAATGTTAAGCATTCATTCATTCATTAAGCATGAAGATGAATGTTCTTTTCTGGTACAACTTCAACATAATGGATATACTATTGGTGCATATCTAAGATAAAACTCTCAGGAATACCTTGTGGTTCAAAAACAAATCTAGAAAAGCCTTTGTGCTACTTTAACGATACTTGGTGGAAAAGATTTTGCCCCAAAGGTAACAACCCTGCTGGACTATGTTTCTCCATTGACTGTTTTCTGTATAGGTACAACTGTTTCTCAGCAAAATATAGAAAACAGATACATCATCCACAGCAGGGAGAAAAGCGAAGCTGGTGATGTACAGAGAACAATTCCAAAGGTTAGCTAGAATATCTTGGTAATAGTTCCGGGCTAGATCAATAGTTCTAGCAGCCTTAATGGAAGAAATAAGAGAGAGTCAGTTCTGATCCAAATTCTTAATTTCAACACTTCTCTCTAGTCTGTTACAAATAAGGGAAGCGAGAACTTGACTAAACTGGACAGCAAAAAGTTCTTGATCTAGTGCACTATGCTTCAAAGGAAAAGTTTAAACAAAGGAAGTATTATTCAGTGTTGCAGCCTTGCAGATAAAAACACCATAGACTTGAATACACATCTGTGGCTACACTCTCAGACTCAGAGTGATCAAAGACCTAAAGAGCTCATGGAAAGATTAAGTTGCTTCACCTTAGTCAACTCAGATAAACAGCAGAATTGAAAGGAAAAGGAACTGGAAAGAAAACATGAGATCTTTATAAAGCCCTACAGTGAACTTTGTCCCATTATGAATGTTATTTACAAAGGTGAGTCAAGAAAATTAGCAATTCCACTTCCAAGCCTACCTCATACCTAATTAATGATTCCCTATACAAACAGTACAAAAGAGCCATTGTACGGCTCTTCCTCTGGAATTTGTGCATGCAATGGTTTCTTTATCTGCACAGTTTAAAATACAGACTGTTTAAAATACAGTCTATTCTTCCTCAGACAAAAGGTTATTTTCTTAGATATTGCTGAGGCTTATAATAGAAACTGATGCCTACCTGCATCAACTTTAAAGATTGTATGGACAAGAAGAAACAAGCAGAGCTACTGACCAGAAATCTCACCAGACAAAAACAGAAACCAAATGTATATGCATAATTAAGGAGACAGCAGGATTAGCCCCCCAGTGAATCCCACCACTGAACAGCCTTGAATGAAGAACAAAACCCCCAAGGGGATGGCAGATCAGCAGGAAGTCCTGTGGGTTACAAGTGCCACCGTTCTGGTTCTCAAAGGAGAGAATTAGCAAAACAGATATGCGGCTGTGTGCACGTGTGCAACTCCCTGAAATAAGTATCAGCAACCTGGGACACAGAGTCATGACCAAAAAAAAATCAGGAGGAGTCTGGTAGCACCTTTTCCAATTAATGGATTTTATTAAAAGGCCCAGAAAAAGGCAGCTGTCGTCTTTAGATATGCATCAGAGCTCTGCATCTGATGGTCATCCAATCTATGCATCTGATGAAGTGAGCTGCAACTCATGAAAGATTGTGCCTTTTAATAAAAATCTGTTAGTCGGAAAAGGTGCTACCAGATTCCTGGTTTTTTTGCCACCAAAGCACAGCTCTGCTCCTATAATACCTACAATCATGAACCCTTAGTCATAAACCCTTTAACAGCCAAGATACAAACCTTTATTATCCAAGACTGCTGCTCAACTGTTGGGCTGGTAGAATTTCTCTACCTTGTCCGCAGGAGAAAAAGGCATCCACAGAAGCGGGCCTGCTTTCTTTAGCAGCGCGAGAGCAAGAAAGTAAAGCCACAATGTCAATGTTGACTGTCTTCATTTCTGCTAACGTACAGGGCAAACAGAAGCATGCCAATACAATGTGGAGATCAGGCCTTGCCATTCAGCTGGATCCAAGGGTGGCCACCAGTTCTCAACACATTTCCTTCCTTCCTGGGAGCGAAATCCAGTGTGGAGAAATCAGAGCAGCTATTTTGAACTATGGGACAGTTGTGGATTTTAACTTAGGCACTTATGATGCCTAACAAGCATGATTCCCCTATAAAGACTTTGCTCTTCCAACATGTGTCCTCTACCTGCGCCCTCTTCTGATGACCATAGCAAATCCCATACTTACTGGATTTATTAGCCACTATAGTCTTTGGAGAAGGGTTAGATACAGGAAGCTGAAGAACCGAGAAGAGGTGAATTTTTCTGGAAAACTTTCCTACAGAAGTATGATTCAAATTAACATATTTGTCTCAAAAGACATAGACTGCACAAACACTGGGGCTGCATTATTTGATTGGAGGGGGGGAACTAGCCTATTTTATGAGATTTGACCACTACACTAAAACTAAACACTTTGATATGCAGAGAATAAATCTTTATATTGGAAGCTTGAAAGCAATGAAGGGCAATAGGCAATCAAAAATATGCAATTATAATATATTATTAGCTTTTCTTTTTTTTTTTAACCAGAGTCCCCTGAAAACAACTTTGAAACTGCCAAAGTAGTCTGAAGTAAATAAATAACCAGGGAAAATTTTCTTGAAATCTTCTTTCAAGAACAGAGTGGGGATGCTCACACACCAGAGCCCCTCAGCTCATAGACAGGTTAAATGCAAGACCACTCAGGCCAACTTCAGTCAAGGGAAGATTCTGAAACAGGAGTTACTATACAAACTATCAGAGCTGGGTTACTGGGCACAGGTCTGGAGCTACAGAATAGTCCACACTGACTTCAGCTGTACCCCACCTGAAGATTACCGAAGAAGGGACCCTCAGGAGTTATTTCAGCAGGGACAATCCTTAGTTCACTTTCAGATTTTCCAGAGTTCACTTGGCAGACTCAAGTGTTTTCATGATGCCTCCTGTTTCCATATTCATAACTGTAGCAGCAAGCAATTATCACAACAGGAATGTTCCTATCCTGCTGGGAAATCTCATTTTCCTGCAACATGGGGGCAAAAAAATATGGACAGAGGAAGAGGTAGCTGGGCATCTTCTTTAGGGAACGTGAGGTTGAGTCAAAACCAGGGAGAAGATTCATGACCAGATACAGCTCAAGAAGGAGCATGTTGGCCATAAGTTGGCTTCAGGCTTTTAATATTTCCATGGTGATTCTCCAGTTACACCCCAGAAGACTCTCTACAGTACACTGATTACATAATTCACCCAGGGCCTCCATGGGCTGGGTGGGTTCAGATGGGCTATAAATTTCAGACAAGGTTTGCAAAAGGCCATTCTTTATGCTGGGACCCCAAGTGCTCTGGCTTTTGGTGCTAGTTTGTGGCATGTCCGCCTCATGAAAAGGGAAACACAAACACTGCAGTATGTCCTGCCCTAGAGGTAACAGTCTAAATTTAGTGAAGTGGTTTTGTTGAAAAAAAAAATGAGAATGGTTCAGGAAATGCTGAGAAAAAAAATGTGTATTTTTTTTTTTACTCTAAAAATACATTTACTTTAATCTCTTAGGAGCAGAGAACCCTGTCAGAGAGACAAAAGACAGACTCCAGTGAAGAGGGAAGCCATTATGGTGACTGTACAACTTAGCCATCACAGCTTTCTCCTGGAGCTCTGAAAACAGAGGTGAATCTGTGGTCTCTCATGGAGAGCAGGGTAGCATGATTGGGAGTAGGATCTCATGATGGACAGGGCCTTCTTAAAGTGTTTTCACCGCTACTATTGGGAATGTATCCCTGGGCTGGGGAATTTGGGAGTTATAAGCCTAGTAAAGATGCTTGTCCTGAGCACTTAACCGTTACTTCATTCCATCATGTTCCTCCTGGCTACAGTTAGTGCTTGGCCTCATTTTCAGATGGAGCACTTCAGTACAAACACTGAGTGCTTCATCTGTGTTGCTTTGGCTTATGGTGTAAGAATACCATACCAGGCACTTCAAGGATACCAAAGGTTTCAGATCTAGCACAGAATAAATTGGAGGAAAATGCTGAACCAGAATAAAGCAATAGCAGTCAGGTCTCCTCCAGTTGTGTTAGTCTTCAATCTTGAAGCATTATAACTTTCGCTCATGCTGGCTGAGGAATATGGGTTGTGAAGCCCAATCAGTTAAGAAGCACTGCTGTAAAGCAGTAATGAATAGCAACAGGGATACTTCTGCCTACACTAATATATCTACTCATACCAAATTTTCTCAGTGCTTACATAGGCTGCCTGGCAATGTGCCCAACAGATAATGAAGTGCCATGGATCAGAACTCTAGTGATGGCCACACATAAAGACATAAGAACTTATTTGTTGCCACTGTGACTCCTGAACCAAGCATCCCTGAAACACCAAACTTCAAACAGCAAGCAGAGCTCATGCTCAGATTTAGCAAGTCACCATCTTCCAAAACACTTGGTGTACCAGACAACTGGTGACCTTGATCTTGAAAGGACAAGGCAGCTAAAGCACCAGATAGTGTTTTAAGATTTAAATCCCTCCCCTTGACCAAAA